TATCTCCATCAGCGTCTACACCACCCCTGCCTGCACCTCCATCCCCGTCTGCACCACCACCTCTGTCTACACCTCCATCACTGCCTGCACCTCCATCCCTGTCTACACCTCAGTCACTGTCTGCACCACCACCTCTGTCTACACCTCCATCACTGTCTGTCTGCACACCCTCACAATTGCACTCATACGGGTAATGATCACAAATGATCCCCATTTTGCACGTGAGGTTGGTGAGGGGCAAAGCCGGTGCTGAATTTCCATGCACGTAACCACCCCGCCAGGCGCACCTCCCAGGAGGCGCTTTGTGTCTTGGTGCCGGGCAGGCTGGAACCGAGCAGCACTGTTTAAAGAGCCCCTCTGCGCCCTCCCTGCTTCACCACCAGGCCTTCTGCCCTCCGGAGTCCTACACGGGAGTCGGATTCCTCTCGAACGCCCCCAGCCCTCTCCCCCCGCAGCCCCGCAGCCCCAGGCAGCAGTACCTTTGTCTCCCGTGGGGCCGACTCTTCCAGGCCGTCCCGGTGCGCCTTTGTCCCCCTTCTCGCCAGCATCCCCTGTGGGAGAGTCACACGCCTTTGGGACCTCGTTCTGAGCGCAGGGCCGCAGCGCCTGCACAGGGGGCACCCAGGGAGAGCCCCCCTCCCCCTGTCTGTGCCCTTGGCTCCCGCCCCACCCCGGCCCCAGGGCCTTCTTCTTCCCACCCCCTCCGGCCCGGCCGGCAGGAGTGCTCTCGGTGCCCTTGCCCTGGATCTGTTCTCAGGGCTCTGCTTCCTGCCTGACTCGGTCCCTCTGGGCACGCCCTTGTCCCTTTGGTGTGAGCACCCCCCTCCCCGGGGCACACGCTCCTGCGCAGGGGCAGGGCCCTCCTCCCAGATCCCTTCTCCTGCAACTGGGACCCTGTTCCAGACCACAGTCATCGCCACGTGGCCCCCTCGAGGTCACGGTGGGGCCTTCCTCCTGTGAGCGCGTGTGGCTGCTGACCCGTGGCCACTGGACCGTCCCAGGTGTGCACAGAGCAGCCGACATTCAGGTGCACGAACCACCCCTCGGTGAGAGGCTCAGCTGGGATTACAGATTCCCCATAAAATCCCCCAGACTCATCATCTGGCCTGAAGGCGGGGATGCTTCCTTTAAACACAGGTGAACATGGAGAAAAGCGAAGTGCGTGCCAACAAGATGCAGGAGGCAGGGCCGGCACGTCCCTGCCACGTGCCTGCCACGGCTGCAGCGGCACCGCAGAGCCACTGCCGAAGGGAGTCCACATGCTTGGCACACGCCTGGGGCCCTTGGCTCTCTGGGTAGTTCTCAGGCTTTTTCCTTATCTTCTCAAAAGAAAGGAAACCGCTGCCGGGGCCACCCTTGGAGAAGCGCTGATAGTCTAGCAAGCAACCCCCACGAACAGACTGATCTCACCACCAAGAATCAGCAGGGCACTGGAGGGACAGCGACGGCGGGGGCGAGCGGTAATAACACAGGAAGGTGGACTCACGGGGCCCCAGGACCAAGCTCTGAAATCAGACCCTGGGTATCCCCTCTAAAACCAGAGAACAGGCGTCCACGAGCAAGAGCAGACAGGGATGAAGAGGACCGGCCGGAGACCTCACGCATGAAATTAATTTCTGAAATAAATTACAGGCAGGCTGAGTAACAGGGGCCCGTGACAAAGGCGAATTCCTGAAGCGAGAGATGAGCACGCAGGGCTCCTCACGAGGCAACGCTGGCACAGAAGGAGAGGAAAGTCTTACTTCCGTTTTGAAGGCGTCACGTGGAGAGTGGAAGGAAAAGCCGCCCCAGCTCCAGCATCCATCTTACAGGAGCTCCAGAGAGGAGGGCAGGCCTTCGAAGCCGTGACCGCTGGGAGGGCTTAATGGCTGTGATTTCCCAGCGCTAAGGAAGGGCCCGCAGAGCAGCAGCAGGAGGAACCGGGGGGGATAACCCGGACGAGTCAGAGACAGCGCGGAGTGACAAGAATAAAGAGGACGTTCTCTCAGCGACCAGGGGAGAAGGAATTTTTAAACACCGCATGCGTGTGAATGAGCATGAGATTGACAGAGAATTCTCATTAGCAGCACGGGGTCCAAGGACAAAAGGAGGCAAGAACTTCAGCAAAAGGGCCGCAATTTAGTCTGAGATCAGAAAAGGCCTCCCTGATGAAGTGGCTTTTAAGGGAAGCCTGCTGAGCCAGGAAGATGCAGCCACAGGCAGAGAGAGGGGAAGAAGGGACACCTGCCTGGTGGGGTGGGAAGAGACAGGCGGGCTGTGAGCAGACGGCACTCAGACCTCACGCTTAGGGACCCCCAGACGCCCCCGCCGGCTTTAAGGCGGGAAGGACAGTGGTCCCGTGCCTGCATCAGAGGGGGGCCGACCAAGAGGGCAGGGTTGGCGTAACCTTCAAGATTCCGAGTCAGGAGCCAGCGGGGTCCCCACCCACGTCCCACCTCCCCCACTGGACACTGGACGGAGCATTCCTTGAAGACGGAGTCCACAGCCCACCCAGTCGTGTCTCCCTGCGCGCCCGGGGCGGAGCCGCTCCCTGGGCTCCGGTGCTGCCGCCGTCCGTCTCTGCCCTGGGGTCGCTGTGCACCGCGAGCATCACAGACTGTCTGCAAGGTCAGAGGGAAGCCGAGCGGCTTCGTTCATTCACCCAACGCGGACGCGCTGAGTGGGACCAGGAGCCGAGCAGAGGGCGGGCGTCCAGCTGCCGCGTCACTGCCCCACGACGCTCGGGGTACGGTCCCCCGAAGGGGCTCTGCTGTGACGCCAAGCTTTACTTTGCAGGGACGAGAATCTGCAGCGTCCTGAGCTCTTGATGCTACAAGCCCCGAACTCGCTTTTCTCCCCCAGACTTCCTCCTCCGCCCTCGCCCTGCTGCCCAGCGTAAACATCGGAACGAGGACATTCCTGGGCAGCAGGAAGCGGCTCTGTTTCTGGCCGCACACGCTCACCGCCACGAAGGAACTCACGCTGCCCCCGGCCTCCACGTCAGAACGAGACACACACAGACGGTAACCAGGTGCGCTGCGACGTGGGCCTGCGACCGCCCCGTGTGCCCGTGTGCCCGTGTGCCCCAGCGTCCCGCTGTGCACCTTGAATACACACGACTTCTGTTCATCGGCTTCACCTCAACAAAGCTGGACGTTTAAAAAAGAGCAAGAGATCCTGTTTCTAAGGGCTTTAATAAATGTGCCAAGATGCCTCCCCACCAGAGTCGCTGTCTGGCATTGACAGGCGAGCGCGGACTGGACGTGTGAAACAGCGCTGCCTGAAGCCCCAGGATTCAGAACACGAGCTGTGGGTCACCCACGGCCCCAGACACCCCAGCGCAGCCTCAGCACCACGTGGGAGCCTGTCTGTCCACCTGCTGGAGGGCGAGCCCTGGAGAGCAGGGTCCACGTCGGAGTCACTGACGGACCCCTCCACTGAAGAACCGCATGGCGGGTGCGCCCTGCCGACGCTCCGTCTGTGCACGTGGGAGGGACAGGAGTGACGCCAGGACCGCTCTCTGGACCGTGCTCTCGCCTGGCCATCCAGCAGCTCGTCACCGACCACAGCACAGTGTTAAGTGGTGAGAAGTCACTGCTGAGGCGAGGTGAGGTGACCCGAGGTGGGCCACCCGTGGAGAAGGAAGCACCGCACAGGGGCCCACCGAGCACACGGCCCGAACAAGCTCATCTCCGGAGTCTGCAGAAGCCGTCACCGATGCAGATTTCAAAAAGCATCTTCTCGGAAGTGCCCTTGAGATGGGCTTGCAAACCAGAGTTACCTGACGCTGACACCGCCCTGATTTCACCGCTGAATTGCAGAGAGCCTGGCCTGTCCCCCCGTGAGTGTCCGCACACTCCCAGCACTGCGCTCAGCGGTGCGCACGGCTGCCAACAGTTCGGGTTTTCCTTCTAGTTTCTGTCCCCGTTTCTGTGGACTGGTACGTTTTTAATGAGATTAGGAAGGGACTGTGTAAAATGTCTGGCTCTTTCTATGATAATGAATAGACTTTTCAACCACTCCTTCACCCTCGTCCCAGGGTGTGTCCCCAGGTTACCGGAGATTCGCTCTGGAGTCAGGAGCTGTGTGCCTGGGAGGCCCCAAGTGATTCAGAAGCAGAGACGCCATGGCCGCCCAGTTTAGTCACTGACCTCCTGCACCTGCATGCGTGCGCCCTGGAGACATCGCCACCATTTAATCCTGACAAAACCCTGAGGCTGTGCCACTTCCCGATGTGGTGGACGGAGGCCTCACACGGCTCGTCCGGTAAACTCAGGCCACGTGTCTCAAAGCCTGCTTCCTTCCATCGCCCGCGTGGCCGTAGAAAGACGGGCCACACATCTGAAGTCAGACGGCACCCCGGGACCCAGGAGAGGTGGGATGGCCGCACAGCTCCCCCGCGGCACCTGGGGGAGCAGCTAGCAATCTGCACCAGCAGAACCAGCAGCTACACAGAGGCCTGGAGCCCCCCACCCCCCCCACCATGCGGGGGCCTGAGCTACTTGCGGGCATCCCGCCCCCGGACGCCAGCGTGAAGGGGGTCAGGACCAGGAGTCCCCCCGCACCTGGACGGGCCAGTGGCTCCCACGGCGAAGGCCCTGCCCTCTCTCCCACCGCATCACACATCTAAGCCTGCGGGTTCACTCACAGACCCCACACCCCGGGGGCCGGGCTGAAATCGCTCCCACCCGAACGTCTGAGTGAGCAGCGCAGCATCTAAGCTTGAGCTTTTCTGACATAATTAGACGTTTTCAAAGTGGGTCAGCGGGTTGGTCATCAGTGACCACACAGGGCCGGCTGGCACGTGTGGGCGGCAGGCCTGTCGTCCTGGAGGGTCTCCAGACGTCCCGGTCCTGATGCCAGCCGCCCCGCCGCCCCCGAGCTCCCACTCTCGGGCCCACCGTCCTCGTCTGTCCTCAGCTGGGGCCCTGCCTGCCGCGTGGCCTGGTCTCCAGAGGTGCCCGCCCTGTCGTTGGCTGGGTCTCCCTCCTCAGAGGTCCACAGACTCTAATGTGAGTCCACCTGCTCCAACGTCACCACAGGGGGAGGCTGCTGGCGTCTCGCAAAGGCCCGTTTGGCAGAGTCTAGGCTCAGGGTCCATGTAGCCTGAGAGGGGACGTGGGACCCCGCCTTCTGCTCTGAGGAGCCTGAGGCCCCAGGGCCAGACGCCCCCACGTGCTGCAGCACTGTCCCTGTCTTGAAATGCTTTCTAACTTCTGAACAAGGGGCCCTGGGACCGCGAATCGCGGGCTGGTCCTGCGTGGGAACCATGAGGCTTGGGGCGTCTTGTCCACGCTTTGGAGAAACCAGTGACTTCTGAGATGAGACGCGCTCTGAGGGCTCAGCCACCCCCGTGCTGGCGCCCCACCCCCACCCCAGTCTGCAGAGCCAGCTTGCCCTGCAGGTAAACTGCAGACCAAGCAGCAGGGTGGATGCTGTGAGTTTTAGGAGAAGGAATGAAGAGCTCTCGGTGCCCAGCGCAGGGGTGTGGGTTCCAGAGTGGGGCACCCAGTCGGACAGCTCGCTGGGTCCTGATCCGGCAGTGGACCAGGGGAGAGTGGCTTGTCCTGAGGGTCCCCGCGGGTGGCGTGTGCCCGGCGGGGACAGATCTCAGTTGCCTTCACACGGTCCCTGCAGGGAGGGCTGAGCACAAATAAAGGGCTGCAGAATTACAGAATCCCAGCCGAAGAGAGCAGAGACATCGTGCAGTCCCACCCTTGACTTCACCGGAGGGGAAACCAAGGCCACCAACGTGGCCCGCGGTCTGACCCTGCGCCGGCACCGGGGCTCAGGACACGGATGACCCCCGTGCCAGCTGCACACGGCTCCCCGCCTGCCGGCTGGCCTCTCCCCACAGCAGGGACGTTACCTTTGAGGCCGGGGACAAGAATCTGCACAGAGCAGGCGTCGTCCGCCGTCTGCTGAGGACGCCCAGCTCGGAGCACGGACAGGAAGGTCAGGCTGATCAGAGCCAGACGCCTCTTCATAATGAGCCTCACAGGACGCTGACCCCTGAGGGAAGGAAGGAAGGCATAAACAGTGACAGGAATTCCGAAAGCCCGACAGCAAGTGACAGTGTGCAGGCCACACCGGCCACCCCACCCCTCCGAGGGGCCAGGGCCGCAGCTGCCCGGAGCCCCTCCCATCGTTTTGCTCTCCCTCCCTCCCTCCCTCCCTCCCTCTCCCTCTCTCCCTCACTCCCCACCTCCACAGAGATGCTCCCTTTGCCCAGGGGCGACCACCCTGGGAGGCGTAACTGGTTCTTTGTAACTGATATTTAATACATACAAAGGCGTGTCTGTGCTTCATGAACCCCGCAGTGCTCAGCTAGAGAACAAGCCTTGGGGGCCGCCCCCTCCTCATGCCAAGTCTCGCCAAGTCGGAGTCGGGGTGCCCATCCCGGCTCCCCATCTCCCCTCAGAGGAGCCGCTCCCCTGGACTGTGGACCCGCCAGGCTCCGGCCACGGCTGGAGTCCACGCACGGGGATGGGCTCAGGCAGCACAGGCTCCCGGCTGCTGGAGTCAGGGCTTCCTAGCCACCAGGTCACGCTGCACGGTCTTCTGTGACACTGCTCTACTCAACAGTCTGACCAGGATCCATCCACGCTCCTACGCGCACTGTAGCTTATCAGATACCTCCTTCTATGAATGAGAAAGCACCTGTCACCAGGGGTGCAGGACAGGGATAGAGGTTGGAAGGGTCAGGGGAACAGAGCTGGTCCCACATCCCTGTGGGGACCATACGTGCCGGTCCCGGCTGCGGCCGGTGGGGAAGTCTTGGTGGCAGCAGGCAGAGACCTGCCCACGGAACTTCAGTGTCTGGACAGCACAGTGTCTGGGGACAGCTGTGCACCTGGCTGCACCCGGACCAGTGCCCGGGCCGGATGGCCTCTCCTCTGTCAGCATGTTTCCTCCCTGACCCCGGGTCATCCTAAGGGAGGCAGTGGGGTGCGGGCAGCTCACTTGACAGCCACCACCCTGCGAGGCAGCCCCACAGCTTCCAGACAAACCGGAGCTGGAAGCAGCACTTCTGAGCTGCAGGTGCTCTGTGTCCCCAGAAAGGGCCCACCCTCTAGCACGTCTTGTGTGAAGGGGGCACAGGCAAAAAACGTTCCCGCAGGGAGGCCCGCTCCCCTGTGTGGTCACAGAGCTGACCCTGCCGGTGCCGACGCCACTCCCCGCCGGCCCAACCGTCAGCCTCCGCGCAGCGCGGCCGGGGCCAGTCCCCTCCCTAAGTCACAGCAGCAGCGGGCTTGCACTGCGTTGAGGTTTGTGCTCTTTATGTTAGGGGGAGGGAAAAGGAGGAGATGAGTATTGTGTAACAACCGTGGACACGCATATCTTATTTAATTCCCTCAACCATCTCAGGGAGCATAGGGGTCCTCGTTTTAAAGACCACGAAGATCAAGCTGGAAGAGGCTGACCTGTCAGCCTAGGTCATGGCCTCGCCACACGCTGTCCCCCTGGCCTGCTCCCTGCGCTCACACTGGTATTAGGACCACGAGGGAGAGAGGGAGGGACGTGCCCACAGCCGGGTGGGGTGAGCCGGGCTCCTCCATAGCCCTGCGGAGCCCTGGGTCCCCGTGCGAGCGGCTCGTACGGGACCCGGGCATCCTGGGCACCTTCGGCTGTAAGTGGGAGGGCTCGGGGCACGTGGGGCCCAGGGTTTGCAGGCGCTGACGTGAGTGAGCGAGAGAAAGAGCGGACGAGCACGGAGTCGCTCACACCCATGGCTCAGACAGACCTGGAGCTCTTCTCCTAATGACGGTTTTCCACGTTCCCACTGGGCTGACCCAGCCTCGCCCGCGCGGCAGCCCCAGGGCCGGCTCCTCGGACACGCGACCCGCGCAGACCCGCGCAGAGGGCCGCGTGGTGGGACTGTGGTTCGCTGTTCTGGGATTCCTGACGGTTTTCCAACCAAGGGGCCCAGAGGGGTTGACGGCAGGCTGGGTCACGCACTGCGGTCTTAGCGTAGCGCGCGCGGCTGCTGCTCCAGCCCAGGTAGCTTCTCTCCAGGACGCAGCTCTTAACAGCAAGGATGGTAGGGTTTTGTGTGTCAACTAGATGGCAACTTTTGTTAATTTTTTAATGGAGGTACTGGACACTGGACCCAGGGCCTCGTGCAGGCTGAGCACACCCTCTACCGTTGAGCTCTACCCTCTCCCCACGTGGCAATTTTCTAAAAACCCACAATAAGCGTTTACTCCACTGACTGCGGTGCTCAGGTCAATGGATACCTGCTTCTTGGTATCTGTCAGATGCAGATGGTGTTCCGGTCTTTCTAAACGTCTCAGGCTTCGAAGGCTGACACGGGAATTTCCTCTTTAGAGAAACAACCCTGCTGTTTGGCAAGACTTACTGCCTCTCCCTGCAGGTCCCCAGGGCGGCCTGGAGATCAGATCCCACCTCCCACGGAAGGTGAGCACTGGACGGAAGCCGCCGTCCCTCACTCACCCCACCCCTGTCCACTGACCCCCGGCCCCGGGCGTCTGGTCCACGCGGCGGGTCCTGCTGGCAGAGGTCAGGGTGGAGGGCCCTGAGTGGGAGCCTCTTTCCCAGACTTTGGGCTCTTTCCTGCCCTCTCAGAAGTGGAATTTTGTTCTGTTTTAAGCAGAGGCACTGGGGAGTGAACCCAGGACCTCACGCATGCTAAGCACGCGCTCCACCCCTGAGCTGTACCCTCCCCAAGGAATTTTGTTTTATAAACGGGGAAGCCACAGCTCCCCACCCCGACCCCCTCGTCTCGGGCCAGGCTCGGGCCACCCCCTCAGTGAAGGAGGCCAGCTCTTCAGAGAGGAAAGGAAAGTCAGTTTGGAATTCTCAGCAGACATCCATTGTAAGAATGAAACAGACAATGAAAAAAAAACGCGGCTTAATTGGCCAAACATGCAGTTGTGCATTTTCATTAATTGTCTGTGGCAGGCCCAGCATTTTATGGGAACGTGAATTCCTGGGAGAAGCTCTTCCCTGAAGCTCTGGGGAGCCCAGGGCGCATGGGCCAAGGGACACCCAGCTGACCGCCGTTTAGCCTCCCACGGCGACACTGGCCTCCCCTGCGGCTGCGGCCCTGACAGAGTCTCACGGCAGAGGCACATGCTTCCCTGCTGTCCACCAAGACCATGAAGTAAGGCGAGGCCTTTTCCCTACAGTTTACCCCGAGTTTTATGCAGATCATCTGTTCTCTTTTTTTTTTTCTTAACCATTTTGAGGTTTTTTTTGGGGTTCTTAATTAGGTCTATTTATTTTAATGAAAGTACTGGGGATTGAACCCAGGACCTTGTGCACGCTAAGCACATGCCCTACCACTGAGTGCTACCCGCTTCCCCCCAACCTGCCCTCTTATTTGGCATATAGATGTTTCAAAATTGTAAATAAAATTGAATAGTGGTGCAAACAAGTGCTTCCCATCAAACAAAGATTCAGCCACACACACTTGATTCCCGAACTTTGCCCTTTCAGCTCAGAACTGCTGCCTAACTTCAGCCCAGCAGGCCGGCCAGGCCTGACAGCACCTGTGGCGTTCCCATCCAGTCCAGTTTCAGAGACAGGATGACCCACCCTGTAGAAGACGCCCCTGTTCGCCCTTGGAAGTTGCCTTCTCCGGCCCCGCCTTCCCCCCCACGTCTGGGATGCCCATTTCTGAGCCCAAAACAGCGGCTGGCCTCTGGGTGCAGACGAGTTGGCCTCGCTGCGGCCCCAGCCTGCCCAGGAGGGCAGGAGCGAGGGCTGGGTCTGTGGCCACTTTGTTCACAGGCTGGGGCTCAGGGAACCCTGTAAATCTGCGTAACTGGCAGGGCTTGACTCAGCCTCCCAGTGATGGACAGAGCCAAGTCCTCCTCACCCGTCAGCTCCAGAAATCTCCACCCTGAACTACAGAATTAACCAAATCTTGAATTCCGGTGCCTGGTCCCGGTGACAGACCCGCCTGAGGGCAGCTCCCCACCCCGGACCCAGGTCCTCCCTCTGCCTCTGCCCTGTCGGGTCCGCGCCCCCCACCCTGGCGTCTCCCCACCCCGTCCTGCTCCCCAAGGCTGCAGAGCGTCCCTACCTGAGGAGTGCACCAGGCGGAAGGGCGTCCTGACCACCGGCCGGCCGTGGGGACACTGCGCCCGGGGCCTCAGGGCTGCTATTCTCGGGCCGCGGTCCACACGCAGGGCAATTGGCCCGGCTGTCAGACCTCCTGGCAACTCAGGCTGGGGCTGCGGGGTTATCTGCAAACAGCTTCCTGTTTGAAAAATCCATCAGCTGTCCTGCTGAGGGTGGGGAGGGAGTGTGGGAACGGGACGTGTGAGACGTCAGGGCTCCCGGGTCCGTCCTGGAGACGCCCCAACACTTCAGCCCAGACTCCCCAGTCAGCCCCTCTTTTATCCATCTTTTTGTTCCTCTCGTTTCTTTTTTTGAAAAAATAAGCATGAGTATTGTGGAAATTCGGGAAAGCAGAAAGAAGAGTGACAATGATCGCCTGGGGTCACAGCAGACCGGGGTGGACACGGCGGACACATTTCAGTTTTCCACATGGGTTTCACTTCAAACGCATGAAGTACTCGTCTATCGCTCGTCAGGCCTGAGCCGTGGGGAGACCCCAAACCCCTCCACTCTCTGGAGTTTCACTGAAGGCCGTACATGCCAAATCCATGTGTCCGGAGGGGCTGGGCAAACCCGGCTTCCGTGTGACCTGACTTACTCAAGAGGGGGGTTTCTCTAGGAAAAAGACACGTGTAGACACTAACTGCTCTAACAAAACCCACGGAAAAGAATGGCTTCTTTATTAAAACCACCTGACCACATAAGTAAATCTGACAACGCAGGTGAAAACAGACCACTTTCTGGAAAGCACCCACTACCACCGTGCACCCAACATGAAACAGAGAATTCAGTAGCCCTGTGGCGATTCAGGGGGTTGAATTCGTAATTTTAAAACTCCCAAAAAGGAAGCCTCTAGGCCAGATGGTTTCGCAGGAGAATTCTACCAAAAGTTTAAAGAAAAATTAACACCAATTCCACACACGTCTTCCAGAAAATAAGAGGACGGAGCACTTACCAATGCGCTTTATGAAGCTGGTGTTACCCTGATACCCAAACCAGACAAGAACAGCCCCAAAAGGGAAAACCCGCAAGGAGGTAGATGGAAAACCCTTTAACAGAACACTAGCCAGGGGACCTGGGCGCTATATGAGAAGATGTGCAAGCTATGGCCAAGCTGGGAGTTTGGGGGCTGCAAAGCTGGGTCAGCACCCAAAAGTCAACCGAGGGAACCCACCACACCAACAAGGCAACAAGGAGACACCGCACGATCACACCCACTGAGGCAGGAAAGCGCCTGACAAAACTCGACCCCTCGTGACAGGAACGGAGGGGGCTGCCCCAGCTCGACAACAAGCACCCATTTTTGATATAAAAAAGTGTGTTTTTATTGGAATAAATCTGACATACAACGAGCAAGGCACACACGGGTGGACCTGCCACGGCCACAGGCGGTGACACTGGCCACAGCAGCGTTAGTCAGCGCTCTGCTACATCACACGGTCATTTCTTTTCTTGAGGTGGGAATAATTAAGATCTAGTCTCAGGAGTTTTGATGACTTTAATAAAATATTGTTGTCTATATTCGCTGGACTGTGCATCAGATCTCCAGGACTTGTTTATCTTGCGAGTTTGTTCCCTTGATCATCTCTCCTAGTCCCCAGCTCCGCCCCGACAGCCACCACGCCGCCGTCTCCAGGGGTCCGGGTTCCTAGAGCCACACGTGAGTTACATCAGACAGCACATGCCCGTCTCCGACTCATCTCGCTCAGCGTAACGACCTCGCGGTCCAGCCGCGCTGTCACAGATGGAGGGGCGGTCCTCCTCGTGGCCGAACAACCCCCGACTGCGTGCACACGGCTTTGATCTGCTCATCCTGTGACGGGCACTTGGTGTCTGCACTCGGCTACCGTGAACGAAGCTGCAGGAAACCTGGGGGGTGGGGGTCCCTGTGCCAATGCGGTTCCCCACCTTCGCGGGTGGACCCAGAAGTGGAATTGTGGGACCCTGCAGTGGCTCTGTTTTTAGTTTTTTGAGGGACCTCCACACTGTTCTCCATGGTGGCTGCCCCAGTTTACATCCCCACCAGCTGTGTTTTCTTCTTGTTACCTCTCGTCTGCTTGGTGACTGGCATCCCGGCACGTGTGAGGTGACACCTCGCCGTGGCTCTGATCTGCATGTCCCTGATGAGTGACGAAGCGGAGCCCCCCTCATGTGTTTGCAGGCCATTTGGATGTCCTTCGGGAAAATGTCTTTCTAGTCCCTCAGAGAGCGCCTATCCTTAAACACCGACACCAGCACCATCCCCAGTGAGGGCCGGTGTCTCCTGGTCAGGAGGGCCAGGAAGCACTCCTGCCTCTTACTCAGCATCACGCGGGGAGCTCCAGCCAGTGCAGAAGGCACAAAACAAAACCCACGCGGGTCAGAAAGGGGAAAGTTCAACAGCCCCTTGTGCAGACGACATGATGGTCTGCTAAGAAAACCCCAAGGAGTCTGCCAAATCTCCTAGAACCATCAGGAGGGCTCAGCAAGGTCTCAGGATACAAGATAAACACACAAAAATCAGTTTCACTTCTGCAAGTTAGCAATGAACACATGGGCATTGAAATTAAAAGCATATAATTTGCAATTGTTCAGACAAGTGAAATGCTTAGGTGTAAATCTAACAAAACATGTGCAGGACCTACATGCTGCACAAACGGAGAGACGTGCCGTGTTCACAGACGGGAAGGTTCGGCACAGTGAGGCTGTCACTTCTCCCAAATAGATCGACAAGCGTCACACAATTCCTAGGAAAGCCCCAGCAAGAATTTCTGTGGATGCAGACCCTGCTATTCTGCAGTTTGTATGAAGGACAAAGGGAACAGAATACAGCTAACATAGCTTTGAAGAAGAATGAAGTAGGAGGAATCAGTCTGCCCCATTTCAAGGCTTATTATGCAGTGTGGGGCAGGACAGAGAACCCACACAAATACAGCCAGCTGACTTTTTAAGGTTTCTTTTTATTGTGGTCAAATGCACGTAACCTTTACCCTCTTCATCACCTGAGTGTGTGCAGCTCGGTGGCACTGAAAACGTTCATAATGTCGTGCAACCATCACCACCATCCGTCCTCGTGGTTCCTCCCGCCTGGTGAAGCTGAACCCCCATCCCATTAGCCACAACTCCTCACTGCCCCAGCCTCACCCCGGCAGCCACCACCCGTCTCTCTCCACGAGTCTGAGGATTCTAAGCATCTCGTGCGAGTGGAATCACAGAGGACTTGCCTTTTTGTGACTGGCTGATCACCCTCAGACTAACGTCCTCAAGGCTCCTCCACGTTACAGCACGTGTCAGAATTCTCTTTCTCTTTAAGGCTGAGTAGTGCCTTGTGGTATGTCTGTACGATATTCTGCTCATCCATTTATCTGTTGATGGACACTTGGGTCACATCCACATTTTTACTACTGTGGACAATGCTGCTGCGAACATGGGTGTACAAATATCTCATTTCAGACCTTGCTTTTTAACTCTTGGATATAAACCCAGAAGCAGAAATGCTGGATCAGATGGTAATTCCATTTTTAAATTTTTGAGGAACTGCCAGACAGTTTTCCAAAGTGGCTGCACCTTTTTACATTCCCACCAACAACTGACGAGGGTTCCAGTTTCTACACATCCTCACCAATGTCACCGAGCAGGACGCTATGGGCCTTGCCGTGACAGACCCCTCCATGCCCTGTGCCTGCCTCTTCTTTGTAGAAAAACTTTAGCCAAAGAATAGATTTAATCAGAGAAGTGAGGAGATACCCAGAAGCAAAGGAAAATACCCAAGCAAGACAGCATAATAACCGTTTGGCCATTAAACAAAGTCAAGGACCTTCAGTTCCTCCTCAAGGGCTGGAGACGATACTCTGAGTCATGTCTTTTGAGC